CATTGCATAAGACCGTCACGCATAACCCTCCTAATACGACCACAACAGTCATTCCTAGTTTCCTGCCAACTGCTCGGAACACTACAACATTGTAACGACCCCAACAACATAACTACCACGACAACCAGTGATAAACTACACTCACTTAATCATCGATTCTACCAGGAAACCACATAACTCAAAACGTCCACAACATAACAGAACGGGCATCTTCCCTTAACAGGTTCAGCAACATCACAGGGAACAATGACAATAATGACCAATTCTCCATAACAAATATCATAAATCCATTTATAAGGTCAGAACCCCACCCTTACTTGGATTGAAGGTCGCTAAACCAAAGCTCCGATCATAATCCTTGATTTCCTCTGCTCGACACCAGACATCTTGCTCCTCTTTCGCGCAACTCTTCTGGTCAACGTATAGGGCTTGTTATTCCCCAACTAAAAACAAACCCTTGTGTCAACTTAGCCTTATATATCAATCCTATTGGGCCTAACCTACACACACCCACTTTACTACTTGCAACCAATAGCTTAAGTCTAACATTATATATATATATATATATATATATATATATATATATATATATATATATATATATATATATATATATATATATATATATATATATATATATATATATATATATATATATATATATATATATTCCCTTAATTCCAACAATATAGTTATTATTAATCAACTAATTAATTAATTAATAATAATCCAACAACTCATACCAACAATTCTCAACATCTCGCAACTTCACAAATAATCCAAAAATAATTTAATTAAATAAATAATTAATTAAATTACGGGCGTTAGAACTCTTGCTTACCGCAACATTTGTGAATACAAACGTAAAACCAGTATAATAGTCACTTCTGCCACTGTATTACAAACTTGTATGGATTTTTTCGAGACAGGCGTGGGAAGTTCGGAAAATGCTCTGCATTTTTCAGAGTTGGCTTCGATTCCCCGTTCGGTCAGATACAAACTGAGGAATTTGCCCGCCTTAACCCCGAAGGTGCATTTCTCCGGGTTGAATCTCATTTTGCATTGCCTTGCTTGGGTGAAGACTCTTTTGAGATGGGCAACATGGTCAGTTTCTGCTCGAGATTTGACAATCATGTCGTCCATATATACCTCGAGCATATATCAGATCTCGTCATGGAAGACTTTGTTCATCATTCGTTGATATGTTGCCCCTACATTTTTTAGGCCGAAGGGAATTACATTGTAGTAGTAATTTCCCGAGCCGGTCATGAAGGCAGTGCAATGTTTGTCGCTCATCTCTATTGGAATTTGGTTATAGACCGAGTAGGCGTCCATAGATGATAAAATTTTATAGTCGGCCGAGTAATCGACCAGCATATCAATGTTAGGTAAAGGAAAAGCATCTTTGGGACATGCCCGATTAAGATCAGTATAATCAACACACGTTCTTCATTTTCCATTATTCTTTTTTACAAGTACAATGTTTGAGAGCCAGGTTAAATATCGGGCCTCAGAAATAAAATTTACCGCTATGAGGTCTTTTACAGCTTTTTCAACAGCCTCCTCTTTTTCAGGAGACTGCCTACACCTACGTTGCACTACTGCCCTAGCAGATGGATCAACGGTGAGTCGGTGATAGATGACCTCAGGGTCGAGTCCGGGCATCTCCGCAGCACTCCATACAAACAATTGTGTTCTCCTGTAAGCAAGCTTTGAGCTGCTTCCTCGCCAGGTCGGGGAGTCTAATGCCAAACTTCATGCCTTTGTGATGGTCTTCACCGAGGGGGAAGAACTCGAAGTCTCCATCTGGGATGGGTCGGAGAGGATCCCTTTCGCCATTGGAGGCTTCGACTTCATCTTTATTAAAGCGAGCGTCAAGGGAGATGGAGTCGGCCATTTATTCTTCAACCCGAGCAGGATTCAATTCGGGTCAAGTAGTGGTTACTTTTTTGTTGGGTCACGCTCCAGTGTCGACCATGCTCTGCCCTTTGGAGGCTACGTGAAAAAATATTCTGGCAGTTGAGATATCTCCATAAATGGTGGCGACGCATCCCCTCTTGGTGTAGAACTTCATTTTCAGATAGACAGTGGAGGGTATGGCGATCAGCTCGGCCAATGTCGGTCTCCCCAAGATGAAGTTGTAGAGAGACGGGAAGTTGATCACCAGAAATCGCACCTTGACTTGTCGGGATGCAGTTTCCTCCCCGAGGGTGACAAAGAGCTCCATGTAGCCCCACGGCTTGGAGGTCGAGTCGTTGAATCCTTGTAGGTCGGACCCCATGTATGGTGGCAGGTGGGCATCGTTGAGCTGTAGGGTTTGGAATAAAGGGTTGTACATGATATCGACAGAACTTCCCTTGTTGACTTGAATACAATGTATTCCAAAGTTGGCCATCCTTACCCTCACCAGCAGAGGAATGCTTGAGTTTGGGGCTTCGCCAAGCAGCTTCTCCAGGTAAAAAGTGATTGGTTCAGATTTTCCTTTGAACCTTTCGAGCATTAATGCCTGGTTCGGGGTTGCATCCACCAACTCGTCGAGCTTCCTCTTTGCTGAGTTCACTAAGATGTCGTTGAATCCCCCACCAGATATGACCATGGAAGAGGGTAATTTTTCTCCCATCTATTGTGCATGGACAAGGGTTCGTCCTTGTAGCTGTCGGGGACGTGGAAGTCTTCCGACCTTGTTACAAAAACAACCACCTGGATAGGGCCCGATTCATCGGATGGCCGGGTTTCTTCCTCGACTTCTTTCGCCTCGCAGGTGTCCTGGCAGGAGGCGTCATTGCGTCTGTACTACCCAAGTCTCCCACCCTTGATGAGAGTCTTGATGGTATCCTTGAGGTGGACGCAGTCTTCTGTCAAGTGCTCGTGGCTACGATGGTGTCATACCTCATTTTTTTACCCCTTATATATTCATTAATAACATCATATGCATTTACATAATAAATCTTTCATTCATTTCAAATCTTAAAGCATGAGATCAAAAGGCTCTTGGCACTAGGGTTTTTTCTTATGGGTTGAATTTGTTACCTTCCTCATGTTGATTCAACTGGTTCTCTTATCACTCTTGGTATAAAACTAAAGTTTTGGATCTACAAGCATCAAGGGTATTTTCCTTGGCAATATTCCTCAAGATACAAAGTTTTCTTCATCAGATTTTTCTTCGAAGAACAAGTACATTAGGGTTTAACTTATGTTCTTCAGATTTCATCATGACTTCAATGAGATTTCTCTTGATCTATAATTTTATTCCACTCACCATCTCAATCCTTCTTCATCCATATGCACTCAAAGTCCAGTGATTTTGAGTTTCTCCTATGCGTGTGTCTGAGCATTGGTGATGGTTATTCAACCATGTTTTATTGAGCTAGGACTATGCCTCCAAGCTACCAGGATTACCAGTCTTTCCTCATTTGGTCTTGTCTTCATCTTCAACTCTTCAAAGTACTCCTTTTATGGACCTGGAGAATGAATTACTAAAAGAGTGAACGCGATTGGAGGAAGTCATTGTGTTCAAGACATCTCGAATGGTTTGGATTTGTTTGAAGTTTTACAAATTGGAAGGTTCATGTATTTGGATTACTTGGAACCTAAGGTGGAATTTAAGGTGTGACACAAATTCAAACATTTTTTATCCTTTCAAGTTTAAGCCTTAATATTCATTTCAATGGATAACTTTGAAACATATATAATCATTGATTCAAGATTTCGAGTTAAAATTTAAGAATAATTCCACTCCAAATTCAATCAAAAAAGAGTACAACTATTCATGGTGTTTCAAAGTCCTTTTATTCAATTTCATACAAATATATTCCAAGTTCCAAATGTCCTTTAAGTTTGCAAGACAAGTTACAAAATTCCATGTTTTAAGTCCATTGATTTCAAGGCATGCCATATCATAATTTCATTCAAGGATATACAAAGTTCATTCTTTCATGTTCCAATTTTAATATTCAAATATATTCATCATCGTTCAAAACTGAAACCAAGTTCCTAAATTTATTTTTTACTAAAATCTTTCATTCCACTACATGTTCCTAAGATTTTCCATAAATTAGATACAAAAACAAAGCCTTGTTTTACAATGCATAAAATCTGTCCAATAAAAATCATGTCGAGATTTGTTTTGCATCAAACTTGTTAATTCTGAGCAATCAAGGCCTTTTCGAGCAAACCTCTCTATATTTCTCCTCATAACACGACATGCTTGCAACTCAAAACCAGTTCCTACATAAAATCCAAACTGAAAAATTACCCTACATTTACAACAAAAAATCGGTTCAAAAAAAACTTCCCTGAACCTGCTTTAATCCAAACCTGAACTGACTTGTGCTTTATCAAATGAGAAAAACTGAGCAAAAATTTTGTTGCCTCGTTTCACACAGAAAAATGTAGAGGAAAATAAATCAGGGGTTAAAAATATAGAAAGAGAATTTCAGAGCAAGCTTCATATCAGATTGAATAGCTCAGCATATATCAAGCTTCTATAACAAGCTTCATAATAGAATTTCAGAGGAAAAAAGGACTTTCAATCTCAGCTCTTCATTTTTGCAACAGAATTTCTAGATCAAAGGTTGAGATGGTTTACCGGTAACAAACTCTTGCAACTATAAATCTGAACTTCTGCTCCAATCTTGGAGGACGATCGATTGTTGCAAAGACTTCTCAGAGAAGTTTCAGAGTTCTCTCTGAAATTCTCTGAGGCTTCCACGATTCATTATGCACTATTCTCCAAACTTCATCTCTCTAAAACTCACTCTCTAATTGCTTCTCTGCACAGATTCATCTTCATCAACAAATCTGAATCTGCTTCTCTACAACGATAACCAACATTATGTATACTTCATCATCATGCATCACAATCTGCAAGAACAATACTGCTACGAATTCAGAGTGGAAGAAGAAGAAAATTCTTGAAATACAGAACCACACAGAGGAAGAAATTAAGATTGAAAGAGAAGCAAGAAATAGAAGTACCTAAATCGAATCCGGTTTTGATTTTAGCATCTTCTAAGCGCCATCGGAGTGTCTTCGATCGATAAGCCTCGAACTATCCTTTCTTTTTGCATCTGCATTTGTTTCTTATCGAGATAATGTAGAACTCTGTGATCCGCGTTTAGTTTTGAGTTACGTGTCACATTTGAACTCCATGGCATTGAGTTAAAGATGGAGTAAGAGGCGAATTGAGGTAGAACAAAGCTAATACAGGGTCGAAATGCAAAATCGCTAAGCGGACAGAGAGGCAGTATGAACAGAGGCAATAGAAGATCGTAGGAATCTGAAAACGACTGAAGTTGAGGCGCTGCAAAGAGATGACAGATCGATGTAGAAGAAGCCATGAAGAAGAGGAGATTGCGGCGTTTGAATTGATCGAAACTAAAGGTGAAGCTTTGGGGCTTGAAATTGATGGTTGTGCTGAGAAGGAGCTTGAAGAAGGACAGGATTCGAATCTGAGATGATATTGAATGGTGAAGCTGCGTTACTGTGGAAGCTTGAACAGACGAACCAAGTGATATGAAGATCAGAGTATGATGGCAACATTATCGGCGATGGATGTCTTCTAACGATTTTGAGGAAGAAGAGGTGAGTAGGGCGCCGTTGTAAGGAAGACGAAGAGGTTGAGTTTTCGTGGAAGACGAAGAGGTTATCGGTGGTGGATGTCTTCCAACGATTTTGAGGAAGAAGAGGTGAGTATGGCGCCACTGTAAGGAACACGAAGAGGTTGAGTTTTCATGGAAGCCAAAGTGTCGCGCATTTTAACCCTAAAGCGCATTGTTCCAGTGTCCTTCCATTCTTTCTTCATTTGTTTTTTTTTTTTTAAATATAATGATAATACTAAAATTTAGAAATTACATTTTTTATTGAGATTAGGTTTGGACTGAATTATTATGATTGTTGGGCTGGTGGAGGACTGCGTTGGGCCTTGCATTTTTACACTTTAGGTGACTCAGTATGACTGGTTTTTTTTGGAGCTTGAAAACTATGTGAAATAAACTCCCTCTTGGGATTAGGATGTTGGGCCTAGCGCCTGACTTTGGTTCACCTCCTCGAACACCCCCTAGATCCAGCTTGCACATCCCTTTGTTTGGTTATTTGAAGTTCTTTTCGATAATTTCTTTAATTTTTATTTTTATTAACTTTGATCGCATAAAATTATGATGAAAATGTGATACAAAAAATAGTAGAATATGCTAGTTGATTTTAGAATTTCTCTTTTAGAATTTAATTGAGAGTTTGTCTTTATTTTTCTTCACATTTCATGATTAATTCTTGTTGTTATTCTTGCCTTGATTTTGCGATAGCATGTTGATTTGTGATGTTAAGCGCTAGAGGATTAACTTGGTTGATCGCTGGTGGAGCTTCTTGCTGTTTAGACGGTTCTTTTCTCTAGATATTACCATATACTTTAGGATAGTCCCTTCTTCTCCTCCCATCTTCTTTAATTTCAAAAATCTTCATCCCCTTTTGAAAACTCTTCTTGTTTTTTTTAAACTCGAAACACTTTCATAATAAACTTGGACTTAGGTCCATGCATTTTCAAAACATTTTCATGAATAAATTTCAATCAACTTAATAATACCTTGACATTTTTTGTGATAAGACTAAAAGTCGATCAATCTCATTAAAACCATTTTTCCACTTTAGCTTTTACTTTAAAAAAGTTTCTCAAAAGATTAGACTCTTGTCAATCCTTGTAGTGATGCAAACAACTATACTTCTATAATATGTAGTGAAGAGAGATATTTTCCATTTGGGTGTTGAGTGATGCATTGTTGATTTTAAAATCCTAGCCATATCCTCCACTTTGAGATGATGCAAATATTCTTTTCTCATGATTGTGGGTAGTAAGTATGTTTTCCACACAGATAATGACGATGATGTCTTATCTCATAAAATTAACCAACACGCTTGTGTTTTAAAATTTTTAAAAGGTGAACTACGAGTACCCTGATCCCCTGTTACACGGAAGGTGGTACATAGACACTAATGGTTCGCAACCGTGGCAGGTGAAAAAAAATCATAAAAAATATTTCTTTTCTCACCTCCACCATCTATTTTTACACAACATTTTATAGCCAAAATATACAGATTTTACAAAGAGGTTCCTATGGAGTATCGTAAATGTTTAGGGTGCTAATACCTTCCCTTTGCATAACCAACCCCCTTACCTTGAATCTTTCCCCCCCTCTTTTGGGTTATTCGCTCTTTTCTTATTCCTTTGGAAATAATAAAGCACGGTGGTGATTTTTATTTTGATCTATACAAGTCTAGTCAATCCAATGGCTTAGTCTTAAACATTTCTACCGCTACAAAAAATGGCGAATTCACTGGGGAAAGATTGAACTCTTATTGGTCCATCCCTAAGTGGGTTGAGACTATCTTTGTTTATTTGTGTATGTTCTATTATTTGTTGTATATTATTTGTTGTATATATGCTTGTTTGCAAGTTTTTTCTGGTTTTTAGGGTTCAATGATCTTTGTGTGGTGAGATAAGTCCTATACCCGGACTTGAGAGCACTTATGTTTAGGACGGGCGTTATAGTCATGTTAACTTTGAGGGAGTAATCCCAAAAAAGGAGACATGAGATCCCCCACTCAGTGGAGGCCCCTTTGACTGTAGTGTCGTTTACCAAGTAATCGGGAAGACGTGCTGCTTTCGACCTGGGAGCTTGCTGAAGCTGAGGACCGTAGAACCCCTAACCCATCTTGGCCTTTTAGGTGTAGTGCGGAAGCTATGACGGAGTAATCCGGAAGTGGTTGTCACGCGATACTACACTTGGACGAGTTTTTCCTGATAATAGTACTAATTACTGAGTAATCGGGACGTTGGTAATATCCGAAGGAAGGATGTAGACTCTGGGAACCTTTTAGAACCTTGATTCGGCAGGTGATAAATTATTAGTCCATACCTTGTGGGTTAGTTGTTACTTTGGCTCCATGCTCATGACGCCAGACTTTTGAACATGTTATGTTCTATTTATTCAGAGGATTGTACAACAGTTATCCAGGTTATATGAGGAAATTTGATCTCATGCCTTTGATCCTTTGTTTGTGCATTGCATATCATCACATTATTACCTGGAGTTTATTATGACATATATGTATTGCATCTCCATGATATCTCAATCTTTGAGTCTTGTTTTGAACTTATCCTCTTGAAATAGACGCTAATAGAAGAAGCACCACTGGTTACAAGATACCTACTCTAAAGTCTCTTTTTGATTTGGTTTCCAAGGCCACTCCAGACAGCATAGAGGTTTTCAAACAAAGAGTATAGAAGAATTATGGATATTCTCCACCTTTTGAAAGGAGGGTTATTCATACTCTCATTCAGTTTTATGATCTCTCTCGGAGATGCTTCATATTTCCAAATTATCAATTTGCTCCTGCTTTGAAGGAATATTCTTATATATCTTTTGGATTCCAATCAAAAATCAGGTTCCTTTTAACATTATGATGGAAGTTACTAGATTTCCCTATATTACAGAGGCTCATTATTTGAGCGAAATTGTTATGAAAGACAACCTTAAGTTTAAAAGACGCATTTCTGGGTCTCACCTGAAGTGTCTAGTTGAAAAGGGTCATGCCTTTGCTGATTCAGCTAGTTGGAATGAATTAAATGCAATCTTGGCTCTTTCCATTTATGGGATTATGTTTTTCCCAAATGTTGAGAATTTTGTAGATATAAATCCAGTGCCTTCCCTGCTTGGTGATGTTTATCATTAAATACATGTGAGGAATGACATAAAAGGAGGACTTGTTCTTTGTTGTGCTTCCCTTCTTTATATGTGGTTCATGAGTTATCTTCTTCAGATATGAGATTTTGTGGATGCTAAGGATTCTGTGAAATGGTCTAAGAGACTGATGGGTCTTGCTACCCATGATATTGTTTAGTACCCCAGAAATTGTGATGAGATTACCTACTACCGTGGGGAGTTTCTGAATGTACCTTTTATGGGGGTAAGAGGAGGTATAAACTATAATCCCATCCTTTCTCAATGCCAGTTGGGTTATGAGATGCAAGGCTAACCCAATAACAAAGATGTGGATGAGTCCATTATTTATGTTGTGACTGGGAATCCTGAGTTGCTGATGAAGCCTGGAATGAAATTCACCTCAAAAGGAGGGCTGAAGGCCCCTCCGTTGATTTGGTTAGGAAGAGCGTTGAGATTTTTCATCTACCTTTTCCTGTGGAATTACCTTTGTATCCACAAACCCTTATTCAACACACTTTTGGGCCTATTTAAGAGTTCAACAATCACTAAGATGACAATCAAGAACTCAGAATAAAAATTGAAGAGTTGAAGAAAGAACTCTATAAAGCTACCTGTGAAAGGAATGAGCTAAGAAGAGACTGTTCAAATGAAAAGTCGAAAGGAAGTAAGAACCGGAAATGGCTTGAGAGTAGCTTACCTCATTGTTGAGGATGAAAAGAAAGAATGTCGCCAAAAGAGATAGTTGATCACCAACTCATAAGGCGCAACTTCCAATTGAACAAAAGCTCTAACAGAGATTGTAGAACTCAAAAAGAATTCACAAGCTGCAGCTAGTGGACCCAAAGTTGAATCTCACCAGGAGGAGTTTAACTACAAGCAACTTCAAGAAGAAAGTGACCATTTGGAGCACCATTGTCGCTACTTAGAAGTTATTTACCCACAGGAGGAATATGCTTATCCAAGAGTTGATTCAGAAGTCAAAGCATGATGCAACGCTGAAGCTTTTCAAAGAGAGACTCAGGAGTGGAGCAAGAAACATCTTGGTTGGAGAGGTCTTGCTAATTAGAAGATGTTCCTAAAGGGATGTGCATTTTTTGATCTGTGATCTCCATCGTTTATTGTGATGGGATCCAATTCCTTTGAATTTTTCCTATGGATTTTGATTACACTGAATCCATGATAAGATCTCTCTGAGTTACATTTTCTCTTTGCTAATGTTATATTCCTCTTGTATTTTCTTGATTATTCAAAGTAGTTAGATTCTTTAGAAGTTATTAAACATAGTGTTGGCCTAATCTTATGCATCATTATGCATGCATGCATCTTTATGCACACAAGTATTCATAACAGGTGTTCAGTATCAGAGAATATTGTTTTGACTTGGTTTTCTCTGATAGAAGTGTAAACCTGGCTTTCCCTCAGTGCCAAAATTCTCAGCAATCAAAGATTAGCTATGACGTAATTTTATGAAGACTTGATTGGGATGAATGCCCAAATGGGTCAGCTTATGGAGGAAATGTAGAGATGACAGTCTTGTATCCGTTGCTGCAACAGAGGTTGTTACTCCTCCTTTCTCTTATCCTATGGGATTTGATTCTTGATACCTGGTGTGATTTCTATTATGGGGCACCTTGATCGGGAAGTTGAAGGTTGGAATACATTTGAATGTAAATTCCAAGACCTCATTAATTCTGGGGCAATCATTCATTCCAGATGGCTGTAGAAATTGAAGCCTTTGTCCAAGTAAGTGTCAAGACTGCGAAAGCATCTTCCAGGAAGCAATGAGCCTAGATGAAGAAAGTATTTTCAACATTGGAATGCATTAGTTTCTTATTGCATTCTCATTTGTAAACATTCTTACTTGTTAATACACTATTTGCATATGAAAATTTGTTTGTTTCTTAATGTTAATCATAATACACTGAATATGTTTGGCTTGAAGTAATCAATTTTTATTCACTCATAATATGTTTTTCTGCATTGTGATACTAACCTTTCCCTTACGCAAATATTGGAGGGAGGATGATGATATTAAAACAAAAAATTCTAGTTGTATGCTTTTGAGTAAAACCCTGTTGAGGATGTACAGGCATTGTTTCAAATTCCCAAACATCGGAGATATAAGGGAGTGAAACCCTCGTTAACCCCTTTGAGCCTTGAAGTAGGAGTTTATTTTTCTATTCTGAAAAAACCCTCATTCTTTAATACGGGGCAAGGTAGTTTTCAGTTAATTTGATCGAGCGTTCAGAACTCATCAGGAGTGCGCATCCAAGGATACAATAATGGTTATCCTTCAAAAGGTTGAGGAAAGTAAAAAACGCAACGGATAACTTTCACTTATCAAGAATGTGTGTCAAATAAATATATCCTAATGGGTATCTCTCGCATACCAGGAAGTCAGCAGATGATGATACAACAATGGTTATCCCTCATCTACCAAGGACTCATGCAGTCACAATTATTCTAACAAGTCGAAAATGACTCAAGGTCACACGACGTGTTCAAAAGGAAAGAAAAGGTAATATGAAAAAAAGATGATGAAAAAAGAAAGAGACAAAAAGCCCCGCTAAGTTGAAACATGAAAAACAAGTCGTTTAGGCAAAAGTCAGGGCATCCCGCTGGACTTCAGAGTCAAATTCAAAAGGAATTTGTCCAGGAAAAAGTTAGGGAAAGCAAAGAAAAGCTTGAAAGGCGATAAAGGATTACAGCGTAAAATCCTCAGTAAAGGACAGAGTCGTGTGATAAGAAACCCAAAAGAAACAAAAATGAGTGACTTACATTTCCAAAGAAAACCTCGGTTGGTTCCTCAACCATCTCGAAATTTCTTTTGAGAGATGAAAGTTCGTATCAAGTTAACTGAATATAGGACTAGAAAACATCATGAAGAGGGTGGGCACCAAATAATTTTGAGCCTTAAAATCCATTTTTTTCTAAAAACCGTGAACCAGGCCACGTTACAACCCTCAAAAGTCCTAATTGAAGCAGGGTTTATTTCTAGAGCATACTTCGATGAGATAGCATTCATGACTCCCAAAAAGTTATGCTAAAAAAAGTTGTGTTAGTATCATTTGCTTGCATTGTTTGGTCACATCTTAACTAAGTGATTTCTTTCACAAAATTTTGTGGTATATTTTCAAATAAAAAAAACTTCAAGATTAACATGTTTAATGCATTAGAATTATCATTCTCAAAATAAACATTTTTCTACTTGCATAAATGTGTGTTTGACATCAAGGAAGTATACATCTGATTATCAGTGAGAAAGCTAAAACGCTGTCAGGGGCATTCTGCCTAAAAGACTCTTTTTAGCAGGGGCAAGTTGTTTTTTCCCAGTATGATGCTTTTTTAGTTGATCACCTTAAAAGGCAAGGCTTGAATATTTCGTTAAATCAAGAAGGTGTCAGGTTTAAGCCAATCTAGGGAAATTACGTTGAGATTCGACATATCTCTCCACGAATAAGTCGACTAAGTAGACTATCTCGTGACAATTCCCTTGAAGATCATGTTGTTTGGGGCACAAATTATGCGCCAAAGTTATTGAATCCAGGGGCAATCCACATTTAACAGGATTTGTTGCTATGGCTTTTCTCAAGCACGAGGTTTCCTGGACTCTCTTTTCCTAGTAAAGACACCAGAAGGTTCAAACGTTGGTTCCCAACAATATTATTTTTGACTTCTCTATATTATGGAATTTAGATTGAGAGTGTGCATTTATTTTGCACGTGAAGACTTTATCTCCTCAGCAGGAATATGTTGGTATTTCCCCAGGAAAGTTCACTCAGATCATTCTTGTTGATATGTGCATGATCTTCTTGTGTTTCATAAGTAGTTGGAGATGATACCAATTGATGTATGGCACGGTGTTGGGTTTGTGATCTCATTTTCCCCAGCCAAGTCTTGGTTCATTGTAATTTCAGGTTTGCATGATATGAAGACTCTATCCCAGATTCCCCAGTAAAGTCTTCACTCATATGAGGAAAGGTCTTGTTCCCTTGGTGTGCTGAGATGGAACTATTTGGAAAATGTCGCTCTTTTTGGTAGTGTTGACATTATTGTTGGTATTTATTCCCCAGGAAGGCTATCCCAGGGCATTATTATTTGAATAAGCTTGCATGATATGAAGACTAAATCTAAGATTCCCCAGTGAAGGCTTCACTTATTTAATAAAAGTCTTTTCTCCCCGTGCATGCTGAGTTGGACTCATTTGCGAAGCATCTCCTTTCGGTAGCACTTACATCTTGTTTCTTTGCTCGGCAGTCAGGCAAGGGCAATGTTTCATTTAAGAAGTGTTGAGACATTTGTCAACTTTTTAGGTTTTCACCTGCCAAGTTCTGGGTTTGATTTAAAATCCCCTTAAGATTGATTTCTTGCTGTAATGTTTGACTTCTTAACTCCCCAAGTTGTTATCCCCATGAGGTTTCATATTTTTTCCCGAGAGAAGTTGGTGCAATACTTGCTCTCAATATTGAAGAACGTATCTTGGTTTCCCCTCTTTGATGTGGTGTTGGCCTCCCCAATGAAGTCAGCACGGGGTCG